TAATATAAAATAAATAGGTGGTGCCTATGCGCCAAGTGTGTTAACTATGCGCTATAAATAGCTGAAGTATAAACTAAAGGGAACTTACTGTAGTGAAGTCGGCCAAGAATATTTTGGTCTTCACCTTGAAAAGGGACTCAATTTCGCTAGCCACATTAATTAGTTTTTCGGTTGATCTGCTTATAAGGAGCACGTTCAGCCCGTCACGAGCCAACTCGTGAGCAAACGCTTTGCCAATGCCGTCTGTTGATCCAGTCACGATAGCCCAATCGCCCGCTTTTTTCAGGTCCTTCCGTTTTGACAGGAGGTGTCGTAATATAAGGTAGGTTATAAATGGACGGAGAAAGTAGTACACGCGATAAGCCACGGCGAATATTCCAATCACGGCAAACGCGATTAACACTGACATGTTAGATGGTCGCGAAGAGATAATTCTTGCAAGGCTAGGTCGGGTGTTTCAACGGAAAGCTAAAACGGTAGAGGGTTAGAGTTAACGATGAAATTGTTCTCGCATGATTTAGAAATTAAGAAAAATAGATACAGTACTATCTAGAATTCGTGTAACATGCCGACGTATGCGAAAGATTGATGCTCTTTCGCTAATCGGTATTGAGTAAGGTTGTAATACTGATTGTCATGTTGTCTATTCTGAAATCATTACAGTCCCGATAGGATGCTGCTTTTTAACGAGCTCCGTTCTGACTGCTAAAAAACGTCTGTACTGCAAAAAGAGGCTACTTAAGTGGTATGCATTTTTATCATTGATCTTGACTTAATTTATAAATTCAAATACATTTTACGGGAAAAATAAACGAAAGAATTATTTCTTGTACTCGTTTGGTAGCAAACTACGCTCATGATTATAATTATGCCAATAGTGGAGAATATGCGAGTTCCTGGAAGCAGTTCAGAAAGAGAGGACGCGATCCTCTTCTTCTGAATTATATTTTTTGAACCGAAAGATGATGTTTCTTTAAGTATAAAATTTAAAGAATGCGTAATTTGCTACCAAACGAGTGCAAGAAATAACTTTTTCGTCTATGTTTTCCATAAAATGTATTTGAATTTATAAGGGCAGTCACAATCAATGATAAAAATTCATACTACTAAATTAGCCACTTTTACTATGTTTTGTTAGCGGTCAGCAGGAAGCTCGTTAAAAAGCCAGCATCCTATCGTGACTGGAATTACTTTAAAATAGACTACATGATAAACAGTATTACAACCCTACTCAATGCCGATTTACGAAAGAGTATCAACCTTTCGCATACGTCGGCATGTTACAAGAATTTTAGGTCGTATTGTATAAATGCGCATTAAGACCACAAAGTATAGCACCTCGGATTCACTTGCTAGCAAGTTATAATGCTGTGAATCAGAGAATTAGTGCGTTTAACACACACACACATGAGCTTGACGTGCGGGATCATCTAGCTTTTAGTTATTTCGAAAAACAATTACCTAGTGTGTGATGCGGCTTACAGCGGAAATCCATCTCTTAATTGGCACGAGGTGTCGATTGGAGAATGTGAAAATTCAGAACTTAGATACCAAAGAGAAAAATTGCCTTAATAACCTAAAGTGAGGGAAAGAACGCAGAACGAAATAGTGTTCTCTGTATGAACCGAGTACGGGGGGGCGAATGGACAGATGATTAGCAGGTAATATGAGAAGCATCAAAAGGAATATGCGTTGTCAGCAGGGGCCAACTACAAAATGCGCCTCCGGGAGGCCCAACCCGCTCCGTCAAGACAACATTTGCCTTTGCACTCATACCTCCAGCATAAAGAAATGAATTATTATCACGGTAGGTAAATGCACCTGTTGATTCTGCGAACACTGTCTATTAGTAGCATTTGGACGAACCAAAGAACGGCGAGCCAGACTACTATGCTAGGAAGATGATAGACGGAGGACTTTACGGCTATAATCGCTAAGACTGATGAATGCAAACAATGAAATTACGTTTTTTGGTAAGAATGGACCCTACCGGCACCGGAGCCAAGCAAATTGTAGAGACCCGTGAGGTCACGGAGTTCAAGCCATACCGCAGATGCACATTTCGGCACCGGCCTATGTGCTTGCCCGTTTTTGCTGAAGATGGCCCTTAAAGGCGGAGGTGAAGTGGAAGGTCTGAAAGTCCAACGCATCCAGCATGACGGCTAAGGCCGCCAAATACGCAGCATTCAACGGCACCCGATTACATTCGTCTAAGAGTGCTTTTGGATGACAATTGTGAGGACTACGAGAAGCAACCTTGATGGACATTTTCAGTCCGCCTGGTGAAAAAACGAGTTAGGGTGAAGTTAGTGGCCTATTAATAAGGCCGTACTGTTGTGTCATCACCGCAAAGTTCAACGAAAATACTAATTTCACATGGAAGCGTACATCGTATTTTATAAACAGCAGGCACATGCCAGAACTTTAGAGCAAGATAATTAAAAGAAGGTGCCAAGTTCACTCTTCGCACGAATCCCACATGAAGGTGGCGTAATCGTTTGTTGGTGAAGATGGCCGGTGTCCCTACCCTCCTTACAGCTGACTTCCCCCCCGTTACCGTTGGAGCTGTAGAGCGTCAAAATTCATCTAACCATACGGCAAGGGACATGTGTGAATGGAAGGTGACGCTGACATGTCCGATACGTAAGCGGTGGTAAATACAATGTTATACACAACTGCAGGGAAGAGTTGTGGAAGGTGTCGACATAGTGGAAAGAGAGTGGAGGGAGATGGGTCAGTAATGGAAAGACAGAGGCGCCGGCTGCTTTCCCCGACACAGATCCGTAGCTTTGTCTCCGCTGGCCAATAATAAGAGCGCCTCAGATGGTTGGTGAAGTTGGGTTTGGCTCATGCCGCTCACAATCGACAGCAAGAAGAAGCCATTTAGTACTCGAAGGGGGCAATGCAGTACCTGCTGGACTACCAAAAATTTACTATAACCCCTTCTCAGGGACCCACTGTAAAAAAATAGCAATTCTGATCACCTGGACGAATTCGAGCAAGCGTTATCGGAGTCGGATTACCGGACATGTCCGACGAAAACTCCTTCAGACGCCGATCCAAGCGCGAAAAGCGAACTCCGCTTAAATTAAGTGATTACCTGCACCGAAAATGTGCGCATTTCATCGTCATCATCATCGGTAAGGACTTCATTTGCCAGTGAAGTGGCAGTGAAATAATAATGCCAACTTGCAGATCACCAACGCTTTTGACGTCACCTGGTAAGCACTTGCGCTACAACGACTCCGCTTCTAGGCATTAGCAGTCGAACTCGTAAACGTCGGCGTCGTGGAAGGCGATCATTTGAGTTGAGGTTCCTTCGGCACTTCACTTATATGGAAATTTTCCTGCATAGTCTGGCGGAATTCATGACGCAAACACAAAACCTCATTATCGACAATCATCCGGAGGCACAACGTTTCATTCACAACCAATTCTAAACGGTACTGCAATCAATGTTTAAAGTCGACTCAAGCGACAAAAACTTAATGTCTTGTACAATAATATTTTTGACCTTTTTTTATATATAATACAGTATCATACCATTAAATGTGTTCTATAACATGTCTATTACGGCGTTTCGAAAAAAAGGGGGGGTTTCTCGATGAAGGAGGTACCCCCTGTCCGGCGGAAAATTTTGGGTCTACATTGTAG